AAAAGGTGGTGGTTTATTTCCTTCAGAATACCTGCAACATTCATACAAATCACTCCTACCTTTGTCAAGACCCTGTCCGCAATCCCCAATTTACCCACCAACATTTGACATCCACAAATAGGGTTTAGAAAACCATGAGCTCGTGTTAAGGTTGTCCCAAACTCCATTGCTAGTGCTTCAGCTATCTCCGACTCCCAATTCCCAGTCACCTACTTTGCTAAGTCCATAATAAATCTGCCATCACTATCTCTCACCACTACTCCTCATGTGGTCTCTGCCATCGACTGGTACTTGTATGTATCGGTCCATTCCTCTCTGTCTCCTCTCCTTATATGAAACATATATGATCTTCCAAGAAGTACTTTGCCCGCGGTAAAATATCTGCCTTAGGGAGCTTAATACCACTAAAGAGCTGAGCATTGCGTTCTTAATTTCCAGATAAACCACAACAATGCTATCCATTCTGCCATGATCTCTTTCCCACATCTTTCCTGAGTTGTCGCTAAGCAATCTCCACTGCTTTCTGCTCGTCGGAGCTCAAAACATTCGACCACCATAGACTGCCACTAAATTAGTGTAACTCACTCACATTCGCCAAAGATATGGACTTGGCTTTCCGAGAGATTACTAATGGGCAGCACCCGCTACGTGAAGGGATGCGAGAACTCACGTTATCATCAGTAGGAAGTGCGTCCCTCGCAAAATAAATCTTGTTAGATGCCATTTTAGATATAGTTGCCACTTCAGAGCTTATGATTTCTTTAATGTGTGGATATTGGTAGTGATCCTTTGGAAAATAAATTTTCATATAAAACTAGCTTAGTGAATTGTACAACATATGTTGTATTTTTGAAATCAATCTCATTTTGCACATCCATAATTGTCTTCCCTTAGGAATTCCACAGGCCCAAACTGAAAATTCGAAATATTAAAAAGAAAATTCATAGTCTACTCAAGTCCTTAACCACTCATTAACCTAACCCAACTCGAATTTGCATCAAAGTGGACGATAAGTGAGTAAGAGGTAGCCACTTTATCAGAACGTTTAGCTAGAACTGATCATCTTCTACTCAACATCCAAAGAAGCCGCACTCATAGGCGGAGCCAGCCTATATTGCCATTGTCCTCCTAGGACAGGGGTAATATTTGGTTGGTAAAAAATAACTATATGTGTACCCAACACCTACAAATAATATAAGGGTATTTTGCCACTACATCACAGCTCATTACTTGTTTGATAATTGATAAAAATAATGAATTTATTTGTTTCATTTATAATAATTATTCAACAATAGCTTGTTGGGTATTATCATGAATCATGATGTTATGAGATTTCATTAATTAAAAAAAAATTGATGAATTATCTCGAATAATGATGAAGACAAAAGTACGCAAGTCATATCCGCTAGTTTATTTGCTCATGGAACTAGTTTTGATTCTACCAGTTGCAACTGTAAGTGTAGAAATAACATTTTTAGCTTGAACTATACTAATATCAAGTTTCGAAGTCAAATTGACGATTAGTTTGGTAATGATTTTTTAATAAGATACATTGAAGAAGCTTACTTAAGAGTATAGACAACGGATGTATTTTGCATTGCTTTGAGAATATGAAAATTCATCGTGGTTGTGTATGCAGACATCAATTGTATTAATAGGTTATTTATTCATCTATAAATGAATTATTTGAATATTATTGATTTTAATTATATTAATTATAAATACAAAATAAGAATATGAAAATTCTTCATGGCTGTGTTTGCAAACATCAATTGTATTAATCGGTTATTTATTCATCTATAAATGAATTATTTGAATACTATTGATTTTAATTATATTAATTATATTTTGAAAAAACAACAGAGATAGTTACAAATCCGTCCTCCGCCACTGGCTCACTGCCGCACTATATCGTTATTCACTTCGCACCATCAGATCGAGAAAGCCTCTGAATGATTAGGGATGGCAATGGGTCGGGTCGGGCGCGGATAGTGTATATCTGTTACCCTACCCATAGTAGTTCGGGTTTTTCCCATTCCCATACTCACATGTGAGACGGGTAGAAAATCAAGACCATGCCCATACCCGTTCGGGTTTCGGGTATCCACGGTTATCCATGGATAATAATTTATCTTCATAACTCCAACCAATATGTTAACATTCAGACGTAATCTCACATTACGTAAAAGGAAAAGTACGACAATAATTCACTAGAATGAAGAAATTAATTAAAACTACACAATTTCATGAAAATATTATATTATTATATGCATAACATAAAATATGTTAGAGAAAAAATAATGATTATTTCTAGACAAAATACATATGTATGTGTATAATGGGGCGGGTTCGGGTTGCATAGTGAGAAACCCATGTCCACCCATTACCCGCAATATTCGAATTCGAGTTTTACTCGTACCCACTAAATGTCGTTCGGGTTCGCAATTTACCCTACCCAATTAGACTGGATTCAGACGGATATCCACGGATACGAATATTTTTGCGAAATGATCCACCTCTATTGGTACTTGATACAGCAATTTAGCTTAGACCCATTTATACCCCTGTTCGTCCTTCATGGCTAATCTGCATCCCTACGGAAAACCGAATACGCCCTTAATCATCCTCCGGTAGAACAGAAGCAAAAGGTTGCAGAGACCCAAAACTACGTGGCCAACACCACATCAGTATGTGTAAGCTGCAACAGAAGCTATCTATCTATACACAGACAAATCTCCATGCAGAAACTATCCAAAGCTCTCCAAAACCCCCCGCCACGTCCCAAAACCGAAACCCGCCTTCTCCTCCTTTCCGCACTGCTTTCCACTTCCCATCCCATCTATAAATACCCACCGCAATCCCCACTCCAATTTCATCCCATCTCACTACCAACACTTCTCAGCAAAGATGGCGTCCTCCGCTTCTCTGCTCTCCCTAGCGCTCTGCTCCCTCCTTCTCTTCCAAGTCTGCTCTGCCCAATTCGAAACCGGCCGAGTCTGGGGATCATCAAGGTCCCAGCGGAAATCACAGCAGCAGAACGAGTGCCAGTTCCGCCGCATCAATGCCCAGGAGCCCGACCGCAGGATCACATCCGAGGCCGGCATCACCGAGATCTGGGACGAGAACGACGACCAGTTCCGGTGCGCCGGCGTCGCCGCGATCCGCCACACCATCGAGCAGCGAGGTCTCCTCCTTCCCGCTTACTCCAATGCCCCCAAGCTCATCTACGTTGACCAAGGCAAAACCCAATTTCCCCTGTTCCTGTGTTTTTTAATGACTCTGTTTTTCATTTACTTGCTCTGTTTTTTTATGGACTCTGTTTTTCATTTACTTGCTCTGTTTTTCAAATGTGGAGTGCAGGGAGAGGGTATCACAGCGCAGCGATTCCGGGCTGCCCCGAGACTTACCAATTCGAGCAGGAGTCTGAATCAAGGGATCCGAGGCAAGGATCGAGAGATCAACATCAGAAGATCCGGAAGATCCGACAAGGCGATATAATTGCCATCCCAGCTGGAGTTGCGGACTGGTTCTACAACGACGGTCAGTCTCCTCTGGTTCTTGTCCAGATCATGGACACTAGCAACTTCGCCAACCAGCTCGACCAGAACTTCAGGGTAATTCATTCGTTCATTCGAGTAAAATTTCAATTTCATTCCGCCAATTGATTCAACATAGTCACTGACGATTTGATTTTTCTTTCAATTGGGTGGGCTTTCAGAAATTTTTCCTGGCAGGGAACCCGCAGAGAGAAATCCAAGGGCAGAGGGGACAGCCTTCGAGGCACCTATACCGTGGAAGCGAGAAGGGAAGAGGCGGCGGCGCTGGAGGCCAGGAGCAACGGTCCGGCAACATCTTCCAGGCCTTCGACGAGCAGTTCTTGGCCGAGGCGTTCAACATCGACACCGACCTGGCGAGGAGGATCAAGAACGAGAACGACAACAGGGGAATCATCGTCAGGGTGGAGGAGCAGCTGGAATTTCTGAGCCCCGAATTCAGCGAGGAAGAGAGGAGGCAATCGTCCCAGGGCGGCGGAAGAACCGGCCGCTGGTCTGCTAACGGAATTGAGGAAACCTTCTGTACCGCCAAGTTGAGGCACAACATTAACGACCCTTCACGCGCCGACATATTCAACCCACGCGCCGGCCGGCTCACCACCGTCAACAGCTTCAACCTCCCCATCCTCCGATACATTCAGCTCAGCGCCCAAAAGGGCTTCCTCTACAGGGTAATTAATACTCTCTTTCTTTGTTTGTTTGTTTCGTTCTTTCTTTTCAAGTTGCTTATTGATTCAAATGTTGCTGCTGCAGAACGCGATCATGACGCCGCACTGGAACATGAACGCGCACAGCATCAACTACATCACCAGGGGCAGCGGGCAGATCCAGATCGTGAACGAGAACGGGGAGAGCGTGTTCGACGGGCAGGTGCAGGAAGGGCAGATCATCACCGCGCCGCAGAACTTCGCGGTGATCAAGAGGGCCGGCAGCGACGGGCTCGAGTGGATCTCCTTCAAGACCAATGACAACGCCAAGATTAACCAGATCGCCGGCAGAGCGTCGACGATCCGCGCGATTCCCCAGGATGTGCTCGCGAATGCGTTCGCGATTTCGAGGGAAGAAGCGCAGAGGATCAAGTTTAACAGGCGGGAGATTGGGATCTTCAGCCCTGGAACCAGGTCGCGTGGAAGGAGGGACTGATTTTGTGTCTGCTTATGTAATCGTAAATGACAAATAAGATAAGTAATCAGTACTAATAATAATAATAAAGCTACGAACTTTACGGTTGGATCGTCAGGGAGAGGCGGGTTAGTACTTCATTTCCGCCTCTTTGTATTTTCGCGGGAAACAAACAGCTTTGGTCATGAGTTTAAATAATAAAAATTATGCTTCTTTATGGAACTCTCCTTTTTTTTTTTTCCGATAACTAATTAGTCAATTCTCTTATTAAGCTCACTTGTAAAGCATGCATAAGAAAACTACCAATTAGTCAAAAGCAAAGCACATTGGGTTAATATCTTATTATGGCCTGAACTATGACCATGTAATAAACTTTGACTCGTGGTTTGAGAAATTAACATCCTGGCTCGAACTATGCAGGAGAAGAGGAAACAGGAGAAGTTGGCAATGCTTGAAGACTTGACGATGCTGACCGAGATCAATTCAGCTAGTTTTGGTGAATTGCAAAGTATTCGAAATGCGATTTGTGCGCTACAAAATTGGCTAACCGCCTGTGCAATCGTTGTAGTTATGTTTCTTTTTGTTTTGGTGATTGTCCAATTGTAAGCTTGTTGTCTAATTGTGTAATTTCTGATGAAATCAAAGAACTGCTCCATTATGATACCTTATTTCCTTCCTATTATCATGTTCTTTCATTGAAGCTTTCATTGAAGCATAACTGGGACAAACATATACAACTTCATTCATTCATAAACATAATCTGTTTGATCATTCAAACATGTCCGGAACATTTACAAAAGGGGCAATACATAAGTTTAGGACAAGGTTCATTTCCAGACCATTTACAAAAGGGGCACTACCTTAGTTTTGGACAAGGTGTGCCTTAGTTTAGGACAAGGTTCATTTCCAGACCATGTACAAAAGGGGGAATCCTATCTTTGGACCTACTTTACATATTTCTTCCTACACTCCAACGAATCACAATGATTCGTAACATGCACATAGCATGCACAAAATAGGAGTTTTATCTACTTCCTAACATAGCATCTTATGATTTCCTAAGGCGACTCTGGTTGAGTAGTGGGAGGCCGTGTGGTATTGACAGGAGGCAGGTCTGGTTCTGTTGCTCGTACCCCACCAGGTGGTGGCACTCTGTGACTAAGCTGCAAAATAGTAGGATCTTCATATTAGGAATAGAGTTCACAACAAGCACTACTCTGTCACTAAGCTGCAAAACTCTGTTACACACCCTTGCATACATGTTTCCAGTGTCCATATCAATGTAGGTTCCATTACCTTGCATCGCCCTTCTCATTTCACGATCAGTTACCCTTTTACTACACGAACCAACATGGGGGGCCTACACGTTCATACACATTCAGTGATTTCATTCTTTCATTCATTCCATTCATTCATAGTTACAGATGGTTACCTGAATCCCTACAAGTAGTGGACAACGTCTTGCATTATGGTGCTTTGATCTACACTTGCTGCAATGACCCTTCTTCTTTTCTCGTGGCAGCTGTAAAATGTTACATTAATAAACATTCATAACAAATAACTAATAAGTTTTAAAAGGATCCTCTTCGAGTTACTTGATTCTCCCTTCCAGCGTCTTGATTTGATTGAGGAACAGGTGCCATAGGAGTTGGGTGTGCTTGCTTCTTCTTCTTAGGAGCTGCTTTCTTCGGGGCAACAGGCTCATTCTTACATGTCCTCGAATTGTGGCCTTCTCCACCACAATTCCCACAATGAAAAGAGATGTTCTCCCTACTAGCAACCTCCCCAATTCCATTTTTAGCTTGCTTGCTTCAGATCTCCAAAGCCTCCCTTCGACGTTTTGTCTTTGGACGACCAGGCATGCGCCTAATCCGAGGAGGGTACACCTTGTTCCCAAACACGGGCATCCATGCTTGTCGGCCTTCCAATGCTGGAATGGGAAACTTGTATGCCATTTTGACAAACTCCATCTTGAAGAAACCATCAACGTAAAGGTCCAGATGTCCTCGCATGCTTCTGATGGATTCAAAAGCATGACTACAAGGAATACCATTTAGTGCCCACCAACCGCACGTACATGTCCGGTTCTTCAAGTCAACCACAAAGGCCTTGTTCTCGACAGCAACCTCATGCATCGTCTCAGATGAAGGACGACTAGTACACATTCTCGCTTAATGCTTTGACTTCTGACACGCTAAAACACAACACCAAACTGCGACCAAGTGTAATCGCAGTCCGGAAATGCAGTAACAGGCAAGCTCTAATTGTCAACCCGGGGTCTAGATCTACTGCCTATTCCGTGTATATCTGTTATCTAGCAAACTAAGTTGATTGATTGTTGATTTAAGTAAAAGCAGTAAGAAAGCACGAAATGGTTCGATTTTCTAAAGCAAAGAAAGAGTCACTCGGGAATGAGTCCCCCTAGCTCCTTAGTTAGGTCACAGTTATGATTACTTTTGGTTGCTTTACTGCTGATTATACTGCGGAAGATCCGACAGTAGCTTGGAATCTCTTAAGCTGACCAAGCCCTCTCAGTCAAACTACCCGGTAGACGACTAATCTTCACCGGGATAGAAAGCTGAGGCAATGAACACAGAACTCCACTACTGGAATTAGATTCCAGTACAAAGCAATGAATCGACTAACTCTCGTATAATCGATTCACTACTACCGATTGAAGAAGCTCTAACAACCTAATCAGATTCTATCTATCTCAGGTTGCAGCAGAAATCAATAAAAGATGATCAGGCTTCAATTGACTCATTCAAAACACTTCAATCGATTAAAATCAAGCAATATCACAATCCAAAATTCGTTACAACAATGATCCCTAACACATAGAACTAGGGTTCTTCATACCCAAGTGAGAGAGGGTTCTACTCGATAGAGAGAGAGAGAGGAAAACAACAAACAAAGAAGTCATACTCATCAAGATGGAAAGAATCTGCTCTGGGATGATGATCTTCATTCCAAGGACGATTTCCAAGCTTGATTGATGAAACCCAGCTCCAAAACCACTCTTAGGGGGTGTTCTTCGCACTTTCTCTCTCTAGGACTCTGTTTTTGCTCCGAAAAGTCTATTCCCTCTCCTTTGGCTCGAATTTGGGTAAAAACCCAGAAATTCCCGACCACACGGTCAAGCCACACGGCCGTGTGGCTTTCCCAGCTGCCCGTGTGAGTGTGCAAAACGCCGCGTTTCACTTAAGTGACTTCGGGTATGCTACACGGCCAAAACCACACGGCCGTGTGGATTTCCAGGATGCCCGTGTGAGCTCCTCGGACTTTCCACACGGCCACAAGGGTTCCCTTACACGGCCAGTGTGGCTTGCCCGTGCAATTTGATGTCAACGACCGTGTAGGTTTTTAGGCGTGCCCGTGTGGCTTCCTCTGCTTCTTGCCAACCGTCCAATCTTCGTCCAATCGACCCCGAACTCGTTCCCAAACCTTCATTAACGTACTAGGGCCTGAAATATCACAAACAAGAACAACCTAGCGTGAAATCGGCCTAAAACACGAGAAATAAGACTCAAACGGTACAAGAATGGTGGACAAAAACATGTGTATATATCAAGTCATCAAATTCCCCCACACTTAATCGTTTGCTTGTCCCCAAGCAAACCAAGTCAGATATGAGGTAAGCTCAGAATATTTCAATCATACCAACATTGGGGACAAATCATATAGGCACATAACACGTGAATCATACTGGCTTTTGATCATTGCGATATGGAAAACTAAATAGCAACCTAGACAACCACCACAGAGGACATTCGAGTGCAGCAAACTCGGGTAAAGGAAGAGGAATCCTTTCTGTTCACCAACCAACATAGACTTGACTCAACCACTTGACCAAGATAGTCATCGCATGTATCAAACTCAAGACATCAGGATCAAGACTGAGCCATCTAGGTCCTCACCGGGGTAAAGAGCATAAAGAATAAGGAAATGAATCGCTCACTCTCGACTAGTGGGGTCAAGACACTTTGATGCGAAAAATGCGCATGCTTATTCTCTCAAATCCTAACATCTCTTCACCATGATGGCAGCCTCTAAATGTTAGAGCTCACACAAGGAATGTCACCATTAACTAATCCATGGGTCTTAGACACAGGTTCAAGTGACTAGCTAGGGTCTTGGACATGGGGAAAAGGCCTTTTTGGTGGTGGAAGTAGTCAGTTGAGCACAAGGTTCCACAATTCCAAACCCAACACAATCACAGTCAATCAAACAACTTACTTTCTTTCTGTCATTCTGTATTACTCGAGTTTTTAAGAGCACAAGAGCGAAGGAGGTTACAATAATGTTAGTATTTCTCAGCCAGACTGCTAAGAAACACTACTTAACGGGCACTATTCAGATTTGTGGTGGTGGCTCTCTTTTGCTTTCATTCATTTTTTTTCTCATTTCTTGAGAGAACCACCACCTATGCACATTTTTCAAACACATGCCCAACTTTTTAAGAACTACCTCCAACCCTCTAATTATATTTAGCTGAAACAACAGAGAACATGTAAAAACCACTATGTGGAACCTTCTAAGAGATGCAAAAGGGGTGATTTTTCATTGTAGACCGAAAGAAAGGATAACACATGGCTCAAAGGGGCTGACTAGGGGGTATGACACACCAGGACAGTCAATTTGGTCGTGGGCTAATCCTATGCCTCCATCATCTTAGCTAGTGACAACGTGAATGCTACACATCATGGAAGAGGGAACTATCGCACAAGAAAGAAACGAGCAGGCTCAAATCTCACGTGGCTACCTATATGCTCTATCTCTCATTTTGATTCCCTGAACTAGATGCATAAACGACTGTCAAGAGCAAGTGATCAATCCAAGTCACAGTTGGTAAGCAAACAGTTGAAAAACTGAACCCCTGCACAATTCTACTGCAAGTCTCAGTCATCATCATAGGTTTTCCTAGTTACAATCAAGCTGACATGTAATAATTCGAAAACCATTAGATTCACCAATCAAATCATAGTGCCAATATGATCATGCAAACAATGATACTTGGAGCCCTTAAATCTCGAGATTTGTACAGCAAACTAGGCTCCAAGCACCCATATATAGATTTCAACTTATACAAAGCACCCCCCCCCACACACACACACACACTTAAGCACGACATTGCCCTCAATGGAGGAGAGGGAGAGATAACGGGAACGATGTTACCGGAAGGAAAGACTGACGGGGGACTGGAAGTGGACCAGTCAGTGGGAAACATATGGAACGAGGAAACAATTCTGCACGAAGGGAACATAAAGAACACATTAGTTCACTGTGCGTTAGGGATCAGAGTTAGCCCAGATGGCCACAAAAGAGACAATCCACAAGAAAAAAAACGACAGACTCAGTTCAAGCTCCGCACAAACATGGAGCAAACACGAAAAGTCTTAAACAAAAACACACTCTGAGGGGCGACGAGTACTGACTACTGATCGCCAAGGTTGTCAAAGTCGATGTCGTTCATGAAGGCATCATCTCCGGCGGCCGGGGGTGGAAGGGGAGAGTCCTCCCAGGGAGTCCTCCAGACTGGCTGCTCGCCAGGTATCAGCTGAAGCAGGTGCTGCTGGACCTCCTGCATACGCCAAAATCGGGCCCGCTCGCGCTCGATGTGAGCAAGGGTCACCCCCTGCTGGGTCTCCATACGGTTAAGGCGTGCATCATAGGTAGCCATCCGGGTCTGATACTCGGCCTAGTGAGCCGAGTACTGCTGCTGGAACTGGAGATGATGGTCGAGGAGTTGCTGATTCTGGAGACTCAACTGCTGGAACTGGTGAGTGAAGTAGTCCTGGGATGGGAAAGTGGAACTGTTACCCCCGTACTCGAAGGTGGTCGGGCGGGGGGCATCAACATCATCCACATCCTCGGGGTGGGCATCCTCAATGGCTTCATCCGCAGGAACATCCAGCTGGTCCTCCACTGGGATTTGAGGAGCCCCTCGATCCACTTGATGCCGTGCTCAACTCCCAGCAGCTGCATACGCTGGATCGTGTCTTCGTTGAAGACACTAGTGCCCCCTACTCTATGCAACCCTGCAGTGGGATCTGTAAGTAGGTGGCCAGGCGGGTGATGATGGGGTGCAGTGGAGGGTCCACAATTGTGAAGCACTCTTTTCCAGCGTCCTGGCCACCACAGAACCCAGGTGGACAGGATGGTTTGCCTGGCGGATGGACTGGATGAAGTACATGGATCTCTTGGTGAGGGTGTTGGCACTATCCCCAGCTGGAGTGTAGGACTTCGCCAGCGTGTGGTGGAGAATGCGGTTATCGAGGTGCAGGGGGCTGGACTTCGTCCACCTTGCAACGAAGGGACGCTGGCCAGGCTGAGCTAGGCGGGTGTACAGCTGATAACGATGTAATTGCACGTATTTGCACCCCTAGTTCTTATCCGTTTGAGGGGCATAGTCGTGTATTTTCGGCCTATTTTACGCCGGGTTGTGCTATTTTGTCATATTTCAGGTCCCAGGCTTCAAAGGAAAGGCTAAGCACGAGTTTTGGGGCATTCGGAAGTCATTCGGTGGAGCTGGAGCCAAAACACGGGCACACCTAAAACAGAACACGGCCGTGTTCCTAGGCCGTGCTTTTACTGCTGAGAGCTGATTTGAGTTTGGCAAACTCGACCTGAAAACACGGGCAGGGCTGAGAAAAAGCACGGTCGTGTCCACCAAAGCACGGTCGTGTCCACCAAAGCACGGTCGTGTCCACCCAAAAGCATGGCCGTGTTTCTCCTAACAGGCTGGCCGTGTAATTATCCCTAGCCAAAGCACGGGTGGGCTGGAGTAAAGCACGGCCGTGCCCTCGACCGTGCTTTGCCTAGTGATGCCCTTTTAAGCAGATTTCAGCCAAAAGAGAAGGGGATTCGAGTTTTAGAGAGACAGAGCGATTCCTAGAGAGAGAAAGCGACGAACAAGAGTCTCCAAGTGCCCTAGCTTGATCTTCATCACCATTGGAGGCCAGCTTGAGCTTGGAGAAGTGCTGATCAACGTCCAGGAGCAGGAATCCATCCTTCACAGTATGAATTCCGCATCTGATTTTGCTTTTGCTTCTTTCTCCATGGAGTAGTTCTCCCATTCATCTGGGTATGGAGAACCCTAGATTTGTATGTTAGGTTTGATTGTATGAACCCAAGTACTGATTCTATGAGTTGATTATATTCGATTGAGGCTTGATTGATTGAATGACTTGAATCCTGATCAAATTCCTGTTGTTTCTGCTTTAACCTATAATGAGAATATCTGCCTAGGTTGATAGAGCATCCTTGATTGAAGGTAGGGAGTTGGTGACTTTAGTCGAGGAGCCAACTCACTATTTTGTACCGAATTCACTTCGGTAGTGGAGGTTTTGTTGTTAGGGCCTCAATCTGTTTACTCCGGTGGAGGTTAGTCGCTCGCTAGAGACTCAGATTGAGAGGGTCTGAAGACCTTTAGTCGAGACTTCAGGCTGTTTAAGAACCTTCCGCAATATAACTATCATAGAAACTGAACTTGGTAATTGCAATCCGACTTAACTGCAGTCTAGGGGGAACCATATCCGGGTGAACTCTCTTAACCTGAATACAACCGTTTTGTTGCTTTGTTTGTTTGTTAGTTTAGACTTGCATTAAAGTTTCATTGCTAGATAACAAGAATTCACCGATTTGTCATCAAATCTAGGACCCGGGTTGACATTAAAACCCAAACCCGCTATACTACGCTTTAGAAAGTGGTTACACTTGGCCAATTTCTAGAGTGACAGTAGAAGTGAGTCAAGTTTTTGGCGCCGTTGCCGGGGATGGCTAGGTTGTTGAAGAAAAGTGATTTCTGTTAATTTAGCTTTTCTTTTCGCTTTGTTTGCTTTGTCCCACTTGTGCCTTCACGGGTTTTTTTGCTTGAGTGTGTGCAGGTAGTGCATGACCCGTAGCCAGTCGAGAGGTTTACTGCCGTTGAATCCAGAGATTGACCGCACCTATCGTCAACTCATGAGACAACAGCGAGCTAGACTGGCTACGGAAGAGCGCATAGACGGCCACCTGAGTAGCGATTCTGAGGAAGAGTACGGGATGGACGGAGAATACAATCCACACCAGGGGAATCCTCAGCAGGCTCCCCCGGTGAATCAGGTCCTGGGGAACAACCCCATACCCCAGGATCATGGGGTTCATCATCATCCACCGCCGCCGGGTCCCACCTTGGAGTACTACTACACTCCACGGATTGCTGACATCCGCCCGGTCATCCTCTACCCGCCTATCCCAGCAAACAAATTCGAGATCAAGCCATGCTGGATTCAGCTCATTACATCCTCTATCCAGTTCCATGGCTTGAAGGATGAGGAGGGCAGGGTGCATCTTTCCCGTTTTCTGCAGCCGACGAACGCGTTCAAGCTGAATGGTGTCCCTGATGATGCAATCCGCCTTCACCTTTTCCCCCATTCTCTGGCGGGGAATGCTAAGAGGTGGTTGGAGACCCAGCCCCCATTGTCCATCACCTCTTGGGACGATCTGGCTGACAAATTCGTGCACAGGTACTATCCGGCATCGAAGACTACAGAGATCCAATGGGAGATCACTCACTTCCGCCAAGAGCCAGATGAGTCACTTCGTGATGCATGGGAGCGGTACATGGGATATTTGTGGCAGTGTCCCCATCATGGCTTCAGTGATGCATTCACAGTGGGGAACTTCTACAGTGCTCTCTCTCCGGACAGCCAGAGGGTGATTGAGTCTCTATGCCCAGGAGGGGATATTCTTACTAAGACTCCACCCGAGCTGAACCAGATGATCAATACCTTGGCTGCCAGAGATCATTCTTGGGGGCACAGCAGCAGAGGCAGACATTCCCGGGACCGACCATTTCTGCTGATCCTGTCCCGGCCAGGCAGGAGGAACCATTACCTGCTTCAGCACTTCCAGCCGACGATGCAGAAGTGCGGGTGGAGAAGGAAGCCCCTGCTCCCAAGCCACAACCAGTGGTTAAGGAGCATGTGCCCCAGCTTCCCTTCCCCACTCGCCTACACAAAGACAAGCTGGAGACTGAGTTTGCCAAGTTTATGGCAATGTTGAAGCAGTTCAACATCAGCATACCGTTCGTGGAGGCACTGTCGAAGATGCCCAAGTATGCCAAGTTCATGAAAGACCTCCTCACCGACAAGAAGAAACTTGGGGATCTTTCGACAGTGATGCTCAGTGAGGAGTGTTCTGCTATCCTGCAGAACAAGCTGCCCGAAAAGTGCAAGGATCCAGGGAGTTTTACTATCCCTCTTACTATTGGCAGCATGCATGTAGGCAAGTCCTTGGCGGACCTAGGCGCTAGCATAAATGTCATGCCATATAAGTTGTATAAAAAGCTAGACCTAGGTGAACTTAGCCCTACTAGGATGAGCATTCAGCTAGCTGATCGTTCCATTGTGCATCCTAGGGGAATTATAGAGGATCTGCTTGTTAATGTAGGTGCATTCACATATCCTGTTGATTTTGTTATTCTTGATATACATGAGGATGTGGATGTGCCTTTGATTCTGGGTAGACCATTTCTTACCACCGCCAAGGCACTTATTGATGTGCATGATGGTAAACTGATCCTGCGTGCTGGGAATGAATAGGCTACTTTTTCTATGACTGAATTCGATCACTGTGCTATGATTGCTGTCACACCTGTGCATGCCATTTCTGATCAGGTACACGAGCCTGTCGTGTATCCTTCTGCACCTCTCATTTTGCAGGACCCTCCTATCATTCCTTCGCCGTCACTCCATCCAGCCTCGCCTCCGAACAAAAAGCTCAAGGAGGAGTGGCGGCCGAAGCCGCAGGTGGCTAAGCCTGTTCGGAAGAAAGGTGGAGATCACTATGAGCTGGTCCCACCTCCTGCACCACGACCACCCTGGCCGTCCGGGTACTCACTCGCCTGCATCTTGCCAGATGGCCAGGTCGAGCTGACCGATGATGGTGGTCGCACCCGTCGGGTGCATGGCCACAACCTGAAGCTGTACCTCAAGAGCGACGTGGATCCGCTCTTGGAGGCACCTGCACCTACACCTCCCTGAGTATCCACCATGGGCATCCAACTAAAAGACGGTAAAGAAGCGCTTGTGGGGAGGCAACCCCACCACGGTTTGACTTTCTTTCTTATGTTTTGAGTCGGATTGTAAACCGGTTTGGTTTTGGTTTGTTTTCTTTTGTTTTGGATGATGTATTATTGGGCTGACCATTGGACCTAACATATCGTGTTTGAGCTCTTTGGTTTCCTTTAGCTGTGCTTGTCTTGACTGGTCCTCTATCCAGTCCGCTTCACTCCGACTGGTCCGCTTCTAGTCTCCTGCAGTCCGTGTATACCGGTAACATCGTTCCCCTTTTCCTTCCCTCTTCTCCATTGAGGGCAATGTCGATCTTAAGTGTGGGGGATGTTTATCTTTTGACTGCATTAGATCTGTTTGTGTGCTTGGAGCCTAGTCCACTGTCCAAATTTTTAAATTTGAGGGCTCCAAGTACGTGTTCCGTGCAATTGCCTGCTCAGTATGCTTTGAATTGACAGTCTTTATAGTAATATGCAACCTAGGGAGGTAGTGTAGCACTATGGAGGATGTTGATGCATTTAAGAAGTCTCATTTCTTCTTCATATTGTGTTGGTTGATTGAGTGAATTAGTGATCTTAGGACCCTTGAATTGTGTGGTGTTGTGGACTCTCTACCTGTCATGGACTCTTGTTTCATGTTTTGAGTTTAACAGGTGCTCGAAAATGTGCTTCAAAATAACATCTCTCGTGCGAATAGGGCGAAAGTGTGTAAGGGGAGACGGGAATTCGTTCCCAATTTCCACCTACTACCTCCAGTCCCCTTACATGTCTTTCCCCCGCACGAGGCTCGAGACATCCGCTCCTGGCATGGCCGGTAAGAGCCGGGCTCCCGCAAAACCTCTGCTAGGTGGGAGCCCCATTTTCTGAAAAGCAGGTTGGGACCCTTGAAAAAAAAAGAAAAGGAAAAAAATAACAGAAAGAAAAGGGGTTCCAACCATCTTCAAGAAGAAAATAGAGCACCTTGAAAAATGTGAGTCCATGATCCTTTGTTTTTGAGAATCTCTTCATCCACGATTCATTTGTCCTCTGTTCACTATTTTCCATGATGCCGACTCGATACTAGTGCTCTCGCTGAAGAAGCTATGCGATGACTTGTGCGTCGGCTGACCTAGTAAGCTGCTAAAAGATCTAGGAAGTCCTCTACCTACGATCTGGGTTGTTTGTTGCTATAGAGGTCTGGAGAGTTGCATTGGTTTGAGTTAGGTTTGCTTGGGGACAAGCAAACGGTTAAGTGTGGGGGAATTTGATAACGATGTAATTACACGTATTTGCACCCCTAGTTCTTATTCGTTTGAGGGGCATAGTCGTGTATTTTTTGCCTATTTTACGCCGGGTTGTGCTATTTTGTCATATTTCAGGTCCCAGGCTTCAAAGGAAAGGCTAAGCACGAGTTTCGGGGCATTCGGAAGTCATTCGGTGGAGCTAGAGCCAAAAAACGGGCACACCTAAAACAGAACACGGTCGTGTTCCTAGGCCGTGCTTTTACTGCCGAGAGCTGATTTGAGTTTGGCAAACCCGAGCTTAAAACACGGGCAGGGCTGAGAAAAAGCACGGTCGTGTTTCTCCCAACAGGCTGGCCGTGTAATTAACCCTAGCCAAAGCACGGGCGGGCTGGAGCAAAGCACGGCCGTGCCCTCGACCGTGCTTTGCCCAGTGATGCCCTTTTAAGCAGATTTCAGCCAAAAGAGAAGGGGATTCGAGTTTTAGAGAGACAGAGCGATTCCTAGAGAGAGAAAGCGACGAACAAGAGTCTCCAAGTGCCCTAGCTTGATCTTCATCACCATTGGAGGCCATCTTGAGCTTGGAGAAGTGCTGATCAACGTCCAGGAGCAGGAATCCATCCTTCACGGTATGAATTCCGCGTCTGATTATGCTTTTGCTTCTTTCTCCATGGATTAGTTCTCCCATTCATCTGGGTATGGAGAACCCTAGATTTGTATGTTAGGTTTGATTGTATGAACCCAAGTACTGATTCTATGAGTTGATTATATTCGATTGAGGCTTGATTGATTGAATGACTTGAATCCTGATCAAATTCCTATTGTTTCTGCTTTAACCTAGAATGAGAATATCTACCTAGGTTGATAGAGCATCCTTGATTGAAGGTAGGGAGTTGGTGACTTTAGTCGAGGAGCCAACTCGCTATTCTGTACCGAGTTCACTTCGGTAGTGGAGGTTTTGTTGTTAGGGCCTCAATCTGTTTACTCCGGTGGAGGTTAGTCGCCCGCTAGAGACTCAGATTGAGAGGGTCTGAAGACCTTTAGTCGACACTTCAGGCTGTTTAATAACCTTCCGCAGTATAACTATCATAGAAACTGAACTTGGTAATTGCAATCCGACTTAACTACAGTCTAGGGGGAACCATATTCGGGTGACCTCTCTTAACCTGAATACAACCGTTTAGTTGCTTTGTTTGTTTGTTATTTTAGACTTGCATTAAAGTTTCATTGCTAGATAACAAGAATTCACCGAGTAGTCATCAAATCTAGGACCCGGGTTGACATTAAAACCCAAACCCGCTATACTACGCTTTAGGAAGTGGTTACACTTGGCCAATTTCTAGAGTGACAGTAGAAGTGAGTCAACAGCGTCTTGAAGTTAACTCCCACTTGATCGTTGAGCTCGGTGACTTAGTCCCTATCATTGTCCACGCCAAGGTCGAGAGCGGTCGCCAAATTGTGGTTGCTCATGGAGCAGGGCGCACCGCCGAGCCTGAACTTGACGGCTTCACCGTCTGCCCAATCCATTGTATCTTCGTGCTTCAAGGTCGTATAGAACTCGAGCACCAGCTCGTGGTAGACCTTCTCCTGAATGGTCAGCAGACGGCGCCAAGGGCGGTTGGTGGCAATGGCGAGGAAGTGGTCGTAGCAATGCAGCTTCTCAAACTCCCTCCTGGACCAGTAGTGGTGCTTCCCAAACGAGGAGGCTAGGACGCGCTTAAAGCTATCCTGGTGGGGGCCCCTCTTCAAATCCCGATGAACGGGTGCTTGAGGTTGGGTTTCTTCATGGTACTGCAAAAGAACAACCCAAAGTGGAGACAAAAGAGCCATAGAAAAGGTTAATCACACCCCCACACTTGATAGCTGAAAACAGCCAAACCATAGTTTCATCCATAGTTCGAGGGTCAATAACTCGATCAAACAAGCACAATCTGGGTGGGGGATTCACATTCAAAATGAAGTAGGCAACTTAAGTTTCACATCCATAGAAAATACACCATCAAAGCACATCATTAAGGGCCCCAACCGGCTCCCACAAAATGGTATGAAAAACTGGCATTTCATCGAACACCTTGTGTGCACTATTAAGTTAAGCATGGAATTGACAAATTTCTTGCACACAAGGGCTCAAACAAGCATGGGGGACATTTCCCAACACAATTCACACATAAACCACGCCTTCCCCTCAATCAATTGCACACAATTCACACATTGCAAAGTTGTTCTCTAAACATACACCCTAACACCCAATTCTACACAACTCACAAGGTAAAGGGCAAAATAAAACCTGGAGACACAAGTAGAGGTGTAGAGGATGAAAGGCAATGGAAGCGACGAAAACCCCAAAATTTGCCCGGAAATGCTCTCCGGGGTCTCGCCGGAAATTGCCTCCGGCGACTCAAAATCGGTCCAAATCGCCTCAAAATCGAGGCATAGACCGAAAATGGGGAGGAAAGGTTGGGTGTGGTGTTGGTTTGGTGAAAAATCGACCAAATTTGACCGGGAAATCCCCAAAGTGGTGAAAAGTCGCGGTTTCCCGGTGAGGGGGAGAGGATTCCGAGGAGGGGAGTTGGATTTTTTGGCTACACGGCCGTGTGCTTTGAATTTATAGACGCTGGCTCGGCCACACGGGCATGCCCACACGGCCGTGTGAGGTGCGATAGTGCCCGTGTGTGGCCGAGAAAAGCACACGGCCTGGCTAAGGGATTTCACACGGCCAAGTGAAAGAGCAATTCTGGCCGTGTGAAAATCACCGAGCCCTCACACGCCAAAGGAAAAATCTACACGGCCGTGTGAGGGACCCCTGCTACCTGTGTGAATTTTCCAGGGCCTCCACACGGCCAGAAGCCAATTTCACACGGCCGTGTGGAATTCCACAGCCCCGAATTCGACCTGTTTTTGCGCAAAATCGACATTCGACCCTTGGACAACACCTCAAGACTAAAAAACACAAAAAATCAAAAGGAAAGAAAATGCAAACCTAGGTGGGGTTGCCTCCCCACAAGCGCTTCTTTACCGTCTTTTAGCTGGACGCCAGTAGAGGAACTAAGGGTCCTCGAGCTTGATCAGCAGCTGTGCGCACTCGACAGCACCTCCCAAGTACAACTTTAGGAGGTGGCCATTCACCTTGAATGGCTCAGTTTGACCATTGCTGATCTCCACCGCACCGTGCGGGAAAACTTGGGTGACCGTGAAGGGTCCCGACCACCTCGAACGTAGCTTGCCCAGGAAAAGTTTCAGGCGTGCATTGAAGAGCAGAACACGATCACCTACCTGAACTTCTTCGGGCCCCTCAACCGAGCGCCGTGGAGACGCTTGGTTTGCTCTTTGTAGAGCAGGGTGTTCTCGTAGGCGTAGTAAGGCCATTCCTCCAGCTCCAGCAGCTGCAACTTACGTTCAATACCTGCAACACTCAAATCCAGGTTTAGCAGCTTAATGGCCCAGAAGGCCTTGTCCTCTAGCTCTACTGACAAATGACAGGCCTTCCCATAGACAAGCCCATAGGGGGATGTGCCAATCGGGTTTTTATAAGCTGTCCTATATGCCCAAAGAGCATCATCGAGCTTGATGGACCAATCCTTGCGGGACTGATCCACCGTCTTTTCAATTATTCGTTTAAGCTCCCGGTTCGTCAGCTCGGCTTTCCCATTTGACTGGGGATGGTAGGCCACCGACACCTGATGCTTAACACCATAGCGAGAGAGGAGTTTAGTGAATTGCCCTTGAAAATGGGTTCCTCTATCACTAATGATGGCGCAAGGTGTCCCGAACCGGGAGAATAGCTGCTTCAAAAATGAGCAGACCCGTCTTGCATCATTGGTGGGCATGGCTTGAGCTTCTGCCCACCTCGAGACGTAGTCCACTACAGCCAGAATGTACAGATTGCCAAAAGATGGAGGGAATGGGCCCATGAAATCGATACCCCAAACATCAAAAATTTCACAAATGACAGAAATATGTTGGGGCATCTCATCTCGGGAAGAAATGTTACCTGACCTTTGGCAGTGGTCGGACTGTCGTGCGAAGGTGTCTGCATCCTTGAAGAGCGAGGGCCAATAGAAGCACAACTGTAAAACTTTCCGCGCCGTGGGGTTTCCTCCATGGTGACCTCCAGTAGGTCCCTCGTGGCATTGAGACAGGATGTCTCCCATCTCGTGCTCCACGACACAGTGCCGGATCATGCCATCTACTCCGATCATGAAGAGGTAAGGATCCTCCCAGAAGTAATGCTTCAGGTCGGAGTAGAACTTGCGCTTTGCATGAGTGGCCATCCTCTTTAGTAGCTGCTTGCCCACCAGTTAATTGGCAAAGTCAGAATACCAAGGGACCACGATGTCAACCAATGTCATCGCCAGCAATTGCTCACCCGGGAAAGAGTCATCGATCTCCTCCACAAAGTTGTCCACCAGAGGGGCTTCCAACCGTGAAAGGTGATCTGCAGCAACATTCTCGGCTCCCTTCCTGTCCTGGATCTCTATATCGAATTCCTGCAGAAACAAGATCCAGCGGATGAGTCTTAGCTTTGCATCAGCCTTGCTCATCAGGTAGCGAATCGTCGAGAAGTCTGTATAGACCACCACATGGGAGAGCACTAGATATGGTCGGAACTTATCAAATGCATACACCATAGCGAGGAGCTCCTTCTCAGTGGTGGTGTAATTCTCCTATGCGTCGTTCAAGGTCTTCGACGTGTAGTAGATGGGCAGGAAGTGCTTCCCGCGTCTCTGATCCAGAACGGCTCCGACTGCATAGTCACTCGCATCGCATATCAGTTCAAAGGGAAGAGACCAGTTAGGAGTCACAATGATGGGTGCATGGGTAAGTTTCTCCTTCAATGTCTCGAATGCCGCTGTGCACTCGGGAGTGAACTGGAATGGTGCATCCTTCTCCAGCAGCTTGGCCAGAGGCAGGGCAATCTTCGAGAAATCTTTAATGAAGCGCCGGTAGAACCCTGCATGACCCAGAAAGCTGTGAATCCCCTTCACAGAAATGGGAGGAGGTAGTTGACTGATCATCTCGATCTTCGCACGATCCACCTCAATCCCCTCCTTGGAGATCTTGTGCCCGAGCACAATCCCCTCACGGACCATAAAATGGCACTTCTCCCAGCTGAGTGCCAGATTAGTCTCCTCGCACCTCTTCAGAACGAGTTCTAGGTTATGGAGACAATGAGTGAAGGAGTCTCCATAAACCGAGAAGTCATCCATGAAGACTTCCATGATCTCTCTGACCAGTCGGTCGAAGATCGCCAGCATGCATCTCTGGAAGGTCGCCGGTGCTTTACACAGCCTGAATGGAAGCCTCCGGTAAGCAAAAGTACCGAAGGGGCAAGTGAATGTGGTCTTCGCCTAATCCTCTGGTGCGATAGGAATTTGGAAATAACCAGACATGCCATCCAAGAAGCAATAAAACTCATGGCCAGCCAACCTCTCCAACATCTGATCAATAAAGGGTAGGGGAAAATGGTCTTTCCTGGTGGCATCGTTCAGGTGCCGGTAATCGATGTAGACTCTCCAGCCGGTCACGGTCCGCATCGGGATCAACTCTTTCTTCTCATTCGGGACCACTGTCATCCCGCCTTTCTTCGGGACCACCTGAGTGGGGCTGACCCACTTGCTATCAGATATAGCAAGATGATCCCTCCATGCAATAGCTTCACAATCTCTGCCCGGAACACTGCCGGGAGACAATCTTCGCTGTGGCTGCCTGACTGGCTTAACCTCATCCTCCATCAGAATTCTGTGGGAGCAGAAGGAAGGGCTAATGCCTCTGATATCTGTGATCTTCCATGCCATGGCCCGGGCATACTTCTGCAACAGAGCCACCAGTCTGCTCTTCTATTCGGGTGTCAGATCCGAGCTGATAATGACAGGGAGCTTATTCCCCTCCCGGAGAAATGCATACTCCAGGTGAGAGGGGAGGGGCTTAAGTCTGGCGGCTCCTCCAATGATGTAGCGATTCGGGGCGAGATAGGGATCGGCTTGAATGGTATCTCTCGCTCCTCGATCGCGGCCTCGTCTAGCTCCGGGAGCTGCTCCTCCACCTGCACGTCCTCTGATGCCTGTTCCCCTAGCAAAAGACAACGCTCGAGGAAATCGTCAATACCCGCACTCGTGATGGCGAGTGCGGTCTCAAAATCAGCAACAACATCACAGTAGTCTAGATCATCATGGAGCTGGGGGTGTTTCATATTATCAAAAACAGAGAAGGTGATTTGTTCACCCCCAGCTCGCAAAATCAATTTCTCATCATTCACATCAATGAGAGCCTTGGCGGTGGTGAGAAAAGGTCTACTCAATATTAAAGGCACATTCACATCCTCATTTATGTCTAAAATCACAAAATCAACAAGATATGAGAATGGCCCTACTGCGACTATCAAGTCCTCTGCAATGCCCCTAGGATGCACAATGGATCTATCAGCAAGTTGAATGCTCATCCTAGTATCGCTGGATTCACCAAGGCCTAGCTTTTTAACAGTTTATATGACATGACATTTATGCTAGCGCCTAAATCCGCCAAGGACTTCCCTATATGCAAACTACCAAAGATGCACAGGATAGTAAAACTCCCTGGGTCTTTTCACTTCTCTGGTAGTTTGTTCTGCAGGATGGCATAACACTCCTCGTTGAGCATCACCGTTGACAGCTCCCCAAGCTTCCTCTTGTTGGTGAGGAGATCTTTCATGAACTTGGCATACTTGGGCATCTTTGATAATGCCTACACGAAGGGAATGCTTATGTTTACCTGCTTCAGCATTGCCATGAACTTGGCAAACTTAGTCTCCAGTCGGTCCTTGTGCAACCGAGTAGGAAAGGGAAGATGGGGTACATACTCCTTCACCACTGGTTGCGGTTTAGGAGCAGGCACCTCAATCTCCATCTCCATTTCCTCCTCATTAGCTGGAAGTGCTGAAGCAGGGATCTCTCTCTCTTGTGCCCGAACAGGTGGATCGGCAGTCACCTTACCATCGTCGCTTGCCACCTCCGCCACTGACTCGTTCCTGATCTGCTCGACTAACCACGCGGTGTCGCCGGCCACGTTT